ATTAATTAAAAGGTGTTAGTAACAAGATTAAAAAGCAAGCAAGGCCAATGATAATGGAGTATGGTCCACGCCCCATACTACATGGACGTGCCAATTTCTCATACTTTGCTTGAGAAGGTTAGAGAACATTTTTTAATATTCTTTTATCCTTCTTATTATTTAATAATAAGATGGATGTGTGAATCACGCATGGACATCAAAAGTAAAATAATCAAGGCATGAAGGGCATTTTAGAACAGTGACAAATTAGGTTTGGCATTTTTTAATGTGTGTTCCACACGAGGATGTGTGATTCCATGTGTGCCAACTGTGGAAGTGGTTGGTTTTTCTACAGGATATGAATCTTGTGGAAGCTTAGTACTACCCCACAACAATCTCAATTCTCAAAGTACGAATCTTTCTCTTTGGATTCGCCAACGAATGGCGATTATTACATTAAACATATGTGTCCAATGAATTTTGTATTTGTTTGTATCTAAAATATTTTGATTTTTTAATAGGGACAAAAACAAAATGTTTTTAAGCAAGTTATCATATGATGGTTTAAGATAATGAAAGCTGTATTATTTTACAGCCAGATAAGTCTCAAGGGAACATTTTATATTCAATTTTACTACCCTGCAATTTCAAATTTGATCCAGCACAGAGCACACAGACAACTTGCAAATCACTATCACATTCATTTTTTTATCTAGTAGTCTAGTGGAAAAGAAAATTTAATAAAAGAGATGTCGCATATTCAAATCCACGCCACCTGAAGTTAGATGTTCCTACATTCATTTTAGATGATCAACGATTTTATATATTTCATTCCACCATTATCATAATTTAGAATTGCTACGCAAAAAGGGCCTTGGGACATTTTTGAAAAAACAATTAATATCGTAAATACAAGGCCTTGTCATCTATCCATGCAGGCTTCTTTGCATTGTAGTAGAAAAATGCAATCATCTGAACCAGCTCATCTGCAGTTCTGAGTTCTGCAAAAGGTATAAGCAACAATGAGAGTAGAACCTAGACAAAGAGAGCGCGCATTCCTTACTGTCTAAGCGAAAGGCAAACAAAAACTATGTTACTGGTATATAATGAAAGTGAAGAGAATGAACAACAATCTCACCTCTCTCCCTGTACACCATCTTATCGCCCCGTAAAAATAAAATTTGTGGACATTCTCGAACTTTGAGGGCATAAGCCAAGTCTCTCTCGATGTTAATGTCTATCTTAACAGCCTACAAATAGGAAAATCAAGAATATATAATACTGGAAAACATTAGAGACTCCAGGTTCTAAATCTAATTAGTGAGTGATCGGAAGGTAAAGTTTGTAGTGATGAGAATTGAGAGGCGAACATAATTTTTTTCTCTTTCATGTCAGGTATTGTGTAATAGATGAAAATGCAGAGTTTTAGTATACTAAAAGAAATTGAGCATACCCGGGGAGGTAACCGATCTTTAGCACTCCAGTACACCTTTATTGCTTTCTCTAGCTCTTTCAAATTTTTCCAGTTATCATTTGCCCTGTTGAATAACAAAATCAAACACCAAAGGCTGCATTTAGCTATAAGTTGTTGGCGGAGTCTAGGAGCACTAAGATCAACCGTGAGCTAATGAGAACACTGCATAAGACATTGACATCTCTTTTATATATCTTTCATTGAGCTTAGTCCTAACTAGTTTAGACTAACCACACATTTGAATTCCATCATAAGTAAGTATGAACTATTTAAAAATTCTATCAACATGTCATTCGAGTAACGTAATACATAAATTTCTCATGCATTCCTACACCAAACCAAGTTCTTATTTGCTTTACAATACCTTTGAATAAATGACAATTATCTTTTGGGAACAACACACATCTTAAAAGAAAAAAGTAAGTAAATCATCCCTAGGACTATATTTTGAAAAAAACAATTTATTTATACAGACAAACCACTTACATGGAAGCACATCGAGACTTAAGACATTATAAACCAACTAATCTGAGCCGAGTTGCATGGAATCACTTAAGACTTGAACAGAAGACTAGAAGTGTATAACTAACAAAAGCACATTTTCTTTGAAAAGTGAGCACAGAAGTATATATGTTATATCTGAAAGATTGCCAGAAACTCTATCATTCATTGCTCCATCAAAATCATATAAGAATAGAAATCAGTAGTACCTGTTATAGCGTTCAAAGACAAGGACAATTAAAGGGCTGGGATGAAAAGCAAAACTCTCCCATTCCAAACAATTGATCTCCTGCACCCAGTTATCATCCATTTCCCCTTCCCAATCAATTTCAACACCATCATCTCCCACAACATTCTTAATTGGATGCTTCTCAAAATACTCTGAAGCTCTAACTCCCCACCCAACATCCGTATCCAATGGCCAACTCTCACTTTCTTCCTCAATCACCATCTTCTTTTCCCCACCATCTCCTTCTTCATCTTCTTCCTCCTCATCACTATCTTCATCACTGCATCTTGATGCAGAATCATCATCAACACTGTCCTTCATTATATTTTTATGATTCTTCAAAGCATCTCTCTTTTGCTGCCGAATTGCAGCAAAAGTATTCTCCAATCTATCGCGTATAAAATCTTCCACTTTCATGGCCTCACTTTTACGACCACGCCTCGGCTTCCTTGGAATTGTTGTTGGGAAGATAACATCAGAATTTCCACCACCCTTATCAACACATACAGCATTTTCAGGTTTGGAACTTTTTCCCTTGTTTTTTGCTCTTAGTTTGGAGTTAGGATTAGATTCGGGTTCAGGTTTTGAACTAGAGTTTGTTGAAACGGAACATGATATAGAAATAGGCTTTACATTACGATGGGTAGATATAGTGGAACACGACAGGAAGCATGTATCAAATTTTGTTGTACGGAGAGGTGAGAAGGTTCCAGGCACAATAGCAGTTTGGAGAATTAGCATTTTGGTGGCTCAGCCAATCAAACACGAAAAAACAATGTTGGTTATGGCTGGGTTATTTTAACAAACAGGTGGTGTTCAAAATAAGCGTGAACACAAATTCTCCTCGAACTAGATAGATAAACTAAACACTTCTTTAATTTGGGTATGAAAGTGAAAAACAAGTGGAAACAGAAGTTAATGATGAGAGAATGAAGCAATATATACCTTGTATGGATTGTAGCGGTAACTGTTTGAATGGAGTACTTGGCTTTTCCCTCCTCACTCGTTACTTTCTGTTGATAACCATGCTACTCAGCTTCCTATGGCTGTCAATTTGGGTCAATTAGATCTTTTATTGGGCCTTTAATTATGCTCACACCTTTACAATTTATTATGTTATTTTATATGGCTACTCTTATATTATTGGGCCTTTTAATTATGCTTCCTATGGCTACTCTTATATTATATCGAAAACAATCTAAAAAAATTGTATTCCAAATGACTTGTGTTATGTTATTCGATAAATACAACAAAAATGATTTTAGACAATAGTAAAAAACTATGATACCGCTGTTAATTTTTCAAATTCTTTCTACACGTATTATATTTAAAAAATAAAAATTAATAACTAAGTTATCTGATGATTACAACAAAAATGAGAGATCTTTTTACTATGACAAGGGCTTTAGCTTTAATTGTTGTATGTTCACTTTTGCCAACGGTTTCAAAACCGCTATCTATTTGTAATGAAAAAAAAACTACTGAAAAAACTTATAACAAATTATTTGGGAAACAAAATTTTGGCAAAAAATTATATTACCTAAAAATTTATTGCAAGTCATTCAATGAACAAAAACTTAATAAAAAATTATATTATCAAAAAATTTATTGCAAGTTATCCCGTAAACAAAAATTTGGTAAAACATCTCAACATCGTAAAAATTATTACAAATTATCCGAGGAAGAGAAATTATATACCTAAATTTTTTAAGGATATGTTTGATTCAAATGAAAGGAGCAATAAAAAAGATTTTAATAGAGAAAAGAAGAGAGGAGGGGAGGTGAAGAGTTTTTTTTAATTATGTGTTTGATTCAAAATAGGAGAGAGAAGGAAAATGAAAAAATTTTAATTAAAAGTATATTTGATTTACTTTCGATTTCTATATATAACAATGTAATAAGCATAAAAATGAAATATTATAAAAATAATTGTCGTAGTTATAATTTATGTTAAGTATAAAAATGTGAAAAATAATTTAAAGATGAAAAATAATTATAATACATTAATGAAAGTAATTGAGAAAAATTATTCAAAAGAGAAATAGTAATATGGTTTTTTTTAAAATATTAAAATAAAATTGAAGTTATTTTAATAAATATAATAGTTTTTTAATTATTAAAATTCATCCCTCCCATCCAAATTCCACTAATCCGAAGGAACGCAGAAAAATATATTTTTAAGAGGGATTTTATTCACCTCTCCTCTCCTCTTAAAAGCTAAGGAAATAAAAATTATTTAAGATATTTTTCTAAATTTTACGAAATTTTATGTTATTTGAAATACTTGTGAGGGAAATTCTTTCTCTAGTTTAGGAGCAAGAGCAAACTTGTGTTTATTGGGAAAATCTCAAGTCTAATCTTAATTAAAGATAGAGTATTGAAAAAGTTTATATATAAGGACAGCATTAAGCTAACATGTTGGTTTTGTATGTTTGCTCAAACTAATAAAAGGTTGATTTGATAATTGAAGTGAAAGAGTTTAGTAATAAGAAGGTGCAGAGTTTTATCTCAACATTTGTCATTAAGATAATGTCTAAGGAATGCAAAATTCACCTGCACTACCGACAGTACGTGTCCCTTCTAAACCACTGTTTATAAAACATTGATGTGTGGTTGTAACTTGTACTTCTACCATCAGTTTTATTTTTTTTTTCTCAATTTTCATTTCAACAACTTCTATATTTATACACCTCTCACAAGTGTCACTTATTTTGATAGTTAAAATCTTCAAGCTTCCAAATCAAAGGATTGACTGTCTTGTTCATCACACATGAAGAGGACCGTCTGTCCTAGTATGTCTGAGACTTGGCCGTGTCACTAAAGTCGGCTCTGAACTGATAGTTCGTGCTTCATTTGATCTCTCATTACTCTCCTCAGGATTTTGTTGGAAGATGTTCGAGGAAACTCGGGAACTATTTTAACAACGCTTACCTGTAACAATGTAACAAAAACAGCTGTGAGTGTTACATCAGTTAATCCCAAATCAGATCAATTTTCACTTTTCAAATAGTAAATAAGCTGCAATAAATTCATAATTGTTCAAATTCTACCAAAGGGTTCAGACCTTAAACAAAGGATTGAGGTTGATTTGAATAGCTTTAGAAAATTTCATTTTTAGAGTTTCTGCATTTGAATTGTATCCTTCCTTAAGAACAACAAATATAACCAGTTGTTCTGGCCCCCTATTTGCAGTTGCAACACCGACTGCAGCTGTCTCCAAAATGCACTCGTCAGCCCTGTCACAGACACGCTCAATTTCAACTGAACTTGTCTGCATATCAGCATCAGAAAATTCCAAGTATGAATAACATTATTCAGACATTCAGTCCATATAATCTCTTCTCTTGCTATTGTGTGACTTCTATTTTTTCCCAACACTTTGCATTCTCTTGAAAGAGTAATACCTTTATTCCACCCAGATTCATGGTGTCATCAGCCCTGCCTTGTACAATGATATAGCCGCCGACCATTCTCTTGATTATATCTCCATGTCTCCTAAGAACCTGCTAATACCCATATCAAGATAGTCATGATAATTGACAAGTTATAGCAATAATAGCAAAATGAATGGAGTCAAAATTACAAATTTAGTCTAATGTAATTTACGAAGAGGGTATTGTTTGAAGTCCTTAATGTATACCTTACTGATATACAGCACTTTTGGACATTGATAGTTTGCATAGGATTTAACAACATTTAAAGACAAACAATCAAACATCCAAACTTAATAGAAGATTTTCCTATCTTTTTACTCTAACTAGTTTGGATGTTCGATGTGTAATCTGGTAATTTCACATGAAAACAGTCCTTAAAAGGTTAGGACACGGTGAGAATATGTTGCCTTTCATGAATGAAAGAACTGATATATCAAAGTAGCTGTATTTAAATGTGAAAATGATTCTAAGCATATTAATTGAAGTAGTAGATACCTTTCCTTTATACACAGGCATTCCCTTAAAGTAAACCTCATCATGGTCGGCGTTCAGCAATCTATCAGACGCTCCAAGAGAGAGAGGGAACAAACCCACTTCACCAACGCAAGGAACATTTTCTGGCTGTCAGATTTGTCATAGAAATCAACAAATCAGAAAACCTATAAATAAATTGTATAAACCCAAAGATACTTTGCTACTATGGGAAAAATGATGAAAGTTTATTGAAGGTAATTTCACAAGTGTATGAAGTTCCAAAAGAATTTAAGAGTGAAATAGGAACTGAAAGTTACAAGAAAAAATTGGAGAACAAAGGGCTGGCATAAAAACTAGACCTGTGTAGAAACAAGTATTGAAACAATTTATCTATTTTTAAAAATTATTATTGGTGCCTTTGTGTCAGACGCCAGTGTCGTGTCTAGTGTCTACATCATAGACAACATATCCTTTATGTTCCCTAGTCCGGAAGTTGAAATAAGTAAGCACACATTCATCACCTTTGCCACAACAAAATTATACTGATGTATTAACACAATGTAATGTGATGAGAAGTGGAAGACTCAGCACAGATAAATAAAATTATGACCAAAGAATTTAAATTATCCAGAAAAAATTCTTACATAAGGAACTCCATTTTCGTCAAGAATGACAAAGCTGGTTGTCATTGATGCTGTACTGAATGCTCCAAAAGCTTGAGGCTGCAGGGGGCTTCCCGCAATGTAGCTGGACGCAAGCTCCGTTCCTCCACATAGTTCAATAATTGGACTGTAATAAGATTTTGAAGAAAGCCATAGATCATCATCAACGTTTGATGTTTCTCCAGTGGAACAAAATAACCTGCATACAAGGGCAGAAGTTTAGTTCATTTTTCTTAGTAGCTATTTTACTCTTTACACTCGCAATAGTCATTACTTTATCTTTGTCCAATCCAAGCCCTCCATACATCGAGTACTCTTCCAAGATTTCACTAAGCTTGGAACGGTACCCAAAATGGTAACACCTGCATCCTGAACAACCATAGTACGATGAATAAAGTTGTGCTTTGGTGTGATGTATTTGTTGAGAAGGAAAAGAGATGGTAGGCATGTTATAGAATCTATTTTTAAATTAAAATCAAGAGAATGCTATATGTATACAACGAGCCACAGATACAAGGGTGTGCAGTTACCGTAATAACATAGAATCATTACCCTATTTAAATTATTTCCACCAGTTTAGTTTATTACAACATTTTAGTTGATCATAACAATAATTGATAATTACCACCGTAAAGTTCAAAATACTAAATAAAATTGTTCAAAAGTAGAAAAAGTCATAAAGTAATGAGATATTAACTTGGAAGACTCGCCTGAACAAATTTCCCAAAACCACGGCCTTGAGGAGATCCATGGTACAAAGCAAGAGTAGCACCAGTTAGAAAGCAATGATATAATACAGTAGGTCCTATCACCCATCCTAAATTTGTAGGCCAGGAATAGACATCTCCAGCTTGTACATCAATAGCAGCCCATCCATCAGCAGCACTTCGTATTGGGGCAAGTTGAGTCCAAGGAATAGCTTTTGGATCTCCTGATGAAACCCAAAATATAACCAGAAAACCATTATAATGGTGATTGGTGGTCTCAATCTGATATGTTAAGGGGTAATTTTTACCTGTGGTTCCAGATGAGAATAGTATATTAGTAACAGTATCAATAGACTGATAGACTGGAGAGTAATCATCTGATCTGCAAAGAGTTAGGTTATAAGGTCGGACTACACAAACTTAGAAAAAAGAAAACCTGAAAACTTTCAATCTCTCCCCATTAGGATATTTTGCAATGAGTATTTAGTATATAAACGCGACCACTTGCTTATATTAAGTATTGTCTAATGAATGCATTGCAATACGCACTACCTGGAGTTTTGACTTCCAGAAGAGAGAAAATCTTTCCACGATAAGTCTTGTTCCCTTAATTGTACTGCTACATCATCACCTATCACAGGTAGCACGATAACGTTACATTCAGCTGCCTCAATGACTCGACTGCAAAGACAAATACGCAGAATGAGGTTTCTAGCGATCAACGTGCTTAAGGAACAGTTTTACACCCATCTAACAACCATTAAACATGTATAATACCAAGCTTAAGTTAAGGCAGAAAAGAAGTCTGAAAGAGGTACTCACGTAAGTATTTTTTCGATCATCATCTAGAATTGAAGCACCAATTAAAGAATGCATCAACAGATGATCATTACATAACCTAACATTCTTTAAATAAACTTTGTTTGCACTTAACATGCCGACAATCTTTAAACAAATGAATCAGACTAAGGCATCATAACGGTGCCACAGGCCCAAGTTAAGTATGATTTCAGTATTCAAAAGTTGAAGTGCTGCCAAAAATTTAGCAACAAGTACAATGCCAGTGATTTTTTTACCTGTACAGGGGGATGTTTCTGCCACCTCCTGATATGAAATCCTGGAAAAAAAAAGGTGAGTGAAATACAGTTTTAATTTGTTAAAAATTGGAAAATAATAGAAGTCCACTCTAATATTGAAGAAACCTAGATTGCTGAAACTGAAATAAGAAAGAAACAGAAATGAAGCACTACATTAACTAGGCTAACTCTTTGATGGGCTCACTTCCTCCCAAATTCCACTTTTCTTGCAGAACTCCCGCTCTCCTTTCCTCTCCCATTTTCTACTTTTTACAATTAAGCATAATTACCACTTTCTCGATTGTGTGTGTTTGAACTAACAAGTCCTAGACATGAAATATTAAGCCTAGGCTAATCATCATCCTCTTTTATAACACATACGTTTCTTTGGAATTAAATGAGTTGTTCTGCTCTGTCCTCCTAGCTAAACATCATCAAAATTCATTCATTCACAGTCCTAATTGTTTATTGTTTGAATCTAACGAAAACTCTTGGTACCGTGAAATCTAATTTCCAAAGTACTGTTTTGTATGCAAAATCAGCCAGCATTATGGTTGTTAAATACCACATTTTGCTTGCAAGTCATCCTTATCAAGACATATTCTCAATAGGCTTTCAACCCAGCAACTTTTCCACCTCATTACTCCTTAAAACCCTAAACCTTTCCCAAGCTTTTGAACTCTTGATTGCAATGCATCATTTGCAAAAGCCTAATTAGTTTAAACAAGATACAAAAGACCATAAGTTTTCTGAAATTAATTCTCATTACTGGAAGAAATAGTATCATACAAAAAGAGTAAGATATAAAAAATAAGTATTTCTAATTACTGGATGAAATTGTTTTGACAGTTCCAACTATTGAATACTACTATCATACACATGAATTGAATCCTGAGAAACAACAAAAACAAGTCCAAACATTGAATATTTCTGCTTCCATCAACTGTAGCTTTAGAGTTAAAGTCATACACACAGTACCAAATTTAGAGTATAACCTGTGTGAAAATACCCTTTGCATTGGAAACACGGAGGCGAGTTGCAATTTCTTTTGGTGCAAAGCTATCAGCTATTGATACCACAGCACATCCTGCTAAAACAATAGCTAGATATATAATCACAGCATTAACTGTCATTTGCATATCAATTGCAATTGCATCACCCTTCAAGAAATTGGCATCTATTGCATTCGCCACCAACCTAAAAATAATAAAGAAAAACACATTAAGAAAACCAAAAGTCTAAGGTGAAACATGAGTCATGAGAGGTGACTTTACATGACTTGTTGTCGAAGTTGTTTGAGAGTGATACGATTAACCTCGGAGTCATCATCAAAACCTTCAACCCTCCAAACAATGGCTACACTGTCGTCTTGTTTGTTAGGATGCGAGCTAGGTTGCAGACAACAATCAGCAATATTAAGGACAGAACCAGGTAGCCAGGTTCCTCCATGTTTCAATGGGTCGGAAGATGTATCTAAAATGCAATTTGGAGGTTGAACAAAGGAAATAGAAAGTTCCTTGAGAACAAGAGACCAGTATTCCTGGAATACAAATACATTGAAATTACATTGCAAAATAGAATGAAACTGTATGAAAAGAAAAGGCAACTAAACTTGCACTTGCCTCAGTGTGTTGAACAGAGAAGTTATGAAAAAGAGGAAAACTAGTAATAGGATCCTTGTAAGAGGATGCTCCTAAAAGCTCTGAACCATGAGCTTCCATGAAACGACCTAGATTGGTGCGTTTTGCTTGCTCTCTAAATGTGGAAACCATTCAACAATAAATCAATACATGAACATGAAATGAATAGATATAATAATATGTAAGAGCAGATATAGTATAATTAGAGTGCCTTACATAGAAGGGAACCAATAAAGAGGAGGAGAAGAAGAGTGATAATGAGAATAGGTGGTATAGTAGAGAAGCTGATGCAAAGGATGAGGATAAGATGGTTTGAGGATTCTACGGCTGACGATGCGGCGCCATGTGTGGGCGGGGTCGTCGGAGGAGGAGAGTGAGAGTGAGAGGAGAAGTTTCTTCAATTGGTTGGCTTCAACTGGTGATAAGCCAGCGTCAACAAAGTCGTCGACTCCCAACTCCGTTATACTCTTTGGAGCCATATATGTCTAGCACTAATTCGTTCCAAGTTCTAAATTGCAACTCGAAACTTCAATAATACTGTAAATAGCGGCGATGGAAAGTTCATATTAGTCGTATGGTGGTAGTTGTAACTGTGGAGTTGAATGACCAACTTCAGACCCGTGCCGCCCACCTAACAACATATTCCCGCCTTACCAATTTATAAGATAAAAATCATTTTTATTGTAAAAATTATAAGGAAAAAAAACATCAAATTTATTTAAATTAACAATTTTATTCTTAAAAAATTATCTTTTCTAAAATAATATTAAATAAAAATTACAATTAATTTGGATAGAATAATACTATATGGGTGAGTAATTTAATTGAGCACTATAAATATAAAAAATGAGTGTCATAAGTAGTAGGAGTAGACATGAGTAAGTTTTAGGTCTAAGTTAATTTGAGGAACAGATAGATACAATTTGTCACCTGCATAGATTTATCTTACATCCCCACACATTTTCATAATCCTCAAATTGATTATCACGCGAATGAAATTTTCGATAATTTATTTTAAATATTAGATAATAAACCAATTTTTTTTTTATTAATTTTTTTTATAAAAAATTTAACATACTAGATTTTTCAAAAAATCTGATATTGTCTTTTTTTTTTTAATTTCGATAGTTCATATTTAATAAACAATTTATTTTAACAATATTGAAAATTTTGAAAAGTTTTGTAGGATATAGAAAATTTGAAAAGTGTTGTAATTTATAAGAAATTTCAAAATTTTGATAGAGTAAAAAAATGAATTTTTGAATTTTTTCAAAATTTTTTTCTTCTGAAAATATTCATTTATTTACTAGAAATTTCAAAATTTTCTAATAAGCGCAACAGAAAATCCCAATTTTTTTAATAAAAGTATAAAGGTAATACCACCACTATATGGGGTTGTCATGTACAATTGTGGAGTGGTAAGTTAAAACCTCCACTTTCAGCTAATTATTTTTATTAGGGATGACAATTGAACTCATCTACAATGGATATCCACAAAAATGATCCAAAATAGATAGGATAAAACCCGTAAAAAAGGATACAGACACGAACAATTGTTCACTAAAATAAACGAGTATGAGTGGGAGTACAAATACCTTAGTATTCAACCCGTCACATACTCACACAATATATATTTATATAATTTTATTTTCATTATGTTAATCTATCAATTTTATTAAATACATCACTACAAAAATTTCTACACATTTTAATGGAAACACTACGCCAGAATTGACATTTAACAGCGCATACATAGACAGCGCTTTTAGAAAAAGCGCTGTTAAAGAGGAATAAAAAAAAAGAAAATAATTGATAACCAAAGACAGCGCTTTTTCAAAAAGCACTGCTAAATGGGGGTCCTAAGACAGCGCTTCTAAAAAGCACTGCTAAAAGGGGGGGGGGGGGGGGTCTAAGACAGCCCAAAGACAGCGCTTTTTAAAAAGCGCTGCTAAAGGGGGGGTCCTAAGACAGCGCTTCCAAAAAGCGCTGCTAAAGGGGGGGTCTAAGACAACGCTTTTCTAAAGCGCTGCTGTAGGTCTAGTCTACGAGAGCGCTTTTTCCATAAAGCGCTGCTATATGGGGTACATAAGAAGATCTTTGAGAGCGCTTTTTAAAGCGCTGCTAAAGCCATTAAAAAGCGCTGCTATAGGTTTAGTTAGAATTAATTTAAAATACCCACCAGAATTTTTATGAGAAACAGAACAGTCAATCGTATTTCTTTCTTTCTTTTTCTCTGGCGAACAAAGAACGTTGCCCTATAAACCCACTGTTACCGTCCAACCGTCGCCGTCCAACCGTCACCCTCCTCTGTTGCATTTCGCCGCCGTTCACCGTTCCTCTGCTCGTCTGCATTGCATTTCCGCCATTGTTACGGTATTTGAAGTTTTACTCTGGCTTTCTTTTTTACGTATATTTTCACCATTGTTGCTGTAATCTTTAAGTAGAACTGAATATGTTTTTATTATTTGAATGCAATCAAGTTAAGTCTTTATAAACAGAGAGTTTTTATTTGAGAGTTTATATGAGAGTTTATATTTGAGAGTTTATATTTGAGAGTTTATAACCAGAATCAAGTTAAGTATTTGAACTGAATATGTTTTCTACAAGAGTTTATATTTTTTAAGAGAGTTTATATTTTGTATGTTTTAAGAGAGTTTATAAGAGAGTTTTGTTTGTGATAACTGTTTGGTCATGAAAATGCAATGTTTTGTTGTTTGTTTATGTATGGTGTCCTTAAAGTTTTATTAGAGTGGGTGAACAATATTAATTAATAGTTGTTAATGATAATAATTTATGGATAACAATCATAGAGTAAAGTTAGAGTAGAGTGTGTGTAAGGACCAGTTTCTTTAATACTACTTTATACTTAAGAAAAACAACTTTATTGGGTTGGTGGTTAGAATTCTTGGAAATAAAGAGAAAATGATGGAAAGGAAGAAAGAATAATTAAAATGTGGATAAGAGATTTATATGTTTTTATGTTAAGTCTCTCTGTTGAATATATTTTTAAGAGAGTTTATATTTTTTAAGAGAGTTTATATTTTGTATGTTTTAGATTGACAAACAAGAGTTTATATTTTGCATGTTCAATATAGTTTGGAAATTCCTATTTTTTAAGAGAGTAGCCAACATGAATATGGTTTTATATGATATGGTTTTATATGTTATTATGGTTTTATATGTTTAGTTAGGATTTCTCAATGTTTAGTAAGGGTGTCATTTTGGTTTAAGGATTATCTAGTATTTTTAATATGATTTGTTTTGGTGGATTATCTAGTATTTTTGTCTTGGTTAATTATTAATATGATTTTAATAAAATTTATATTTTGTCTGCTATAGGGGTTACCTGTGAAGAGTAAAGTTGTGATCGTTTCCAAGCATCCTATTGCGTAGCATTCTTAGAAGTTAGTGATTTCATTACAGGTATTCTCTGTTTTATTTAACTTTTATAGTTTAGTGTAGATTACCCAATTAGTATGGATAAAAAATGGATGTCTGGTAATCGATTGTCAAAAGAGTACGAGAATGGGGTATCGAAGTTCGTTAAGTCTGCTGTTGAACACGCCAAAGACCCCAGTAGGATCACATGTCCTTGCTTAGGATGCTGTTATGGGCGTCGAGTTGACGCCGTTCAGTTGGAATCTCATTTAATGAGACATGGAATTGATCGAAGTTACACATGTTGGACATTACATGGTGAGATAAGTAACGAGAATGTTGAACCCCGGAATAATACGACATGTGCTTCAAAGGACAATGGCAGGGATACATATGATTGTGATCGAGTCGAAGAGATTGCATAAGCACTTGAAGAAGATCTTCAAGATTATCCCAAGATGTTTGAGAGGTTGGTAAGCGATGCAGAGAAACCGTTGTATAAAGGTTGCACTACTTTCACAAGATTGTCCGCGGTATTAAAGTTGTACAATTTAAAGGCGGGTAATGGATGGTCGGATAAAAGTTTCACAGAGTTGTTAGCCCTACTTCAAGAGATGCTTCCGGAGGATAATGTTCTTCCCAATCGAACCTATGAAGCTAAAAAAATGTTATGCTCTATTGACATGAGCTATGATAAGATACATGCTTGTCCAAATGATTGCATTTTGTTTCAAAATGAATATGCATCATTAAACGAGTGTCCTAAATGCGGTGTATCTCGGTATAAGAAAAAATTGTCACCAGCAAAAGTATTATGGTATTTTCCTATAATTTCGAGATTCAGACGCATGTTTCGTAGTGAAACAGATGCAAAACACCTGACTTGGCATGCAGATGATAGAATTGTAGATGGGAAGTATCGACATCCGGCAGATTCACCACAGTGGATGAAAATTGACAATGATTATCCTGATTTTGGACAAGAAGCTAGAAACCTTTGCTTGACATTATCGACTGATGGAATGAATCCGCATGGTTTGCAGAGTATCTCACATTCCACCTGGCCTGTAATTATTATGATTTATAACCTACCTCCATGGCTATGTATGAAGCGTAAGTATATGATGTTATCTATGTTAATTTCTGGCCCTAAACAACTAGGGAATGACATAAACATATACCTGACACCTTTAATCGAAGACTTAAAGAGTTTGTGGGAGAACGGTGTGGAGGTTTATGATGGATATAGGAAAGAAAGTTTCAATTTGAGGGCGATGTTGTTTGGCACAATTAATGATTTCCCAGCATACGGAAATCTATCGGGGTATAGCATTAAAGGTCAATGTGCGTGTCCTATTTGTGAAGAAAACACAGATTGGACGCGGTTGGAATTTGGTCAGAAGAATGTCTTTCTTGGTCATCGTAGATTCTTAAATTCTAGTCATCACTACCGTGGGTGGAGAAAAGCATTCAATGGAAATTCAGAACAACGTAAAGCTCCACCTACATTGACCGGCGAACAAATTTTTGAAAAGGTGAAAGATGTGAGTACTAAGTTTGGCAAGCCTTTTGCTCATACTCTTGTCACGCGTGGGTGGAAGAAGAGGTCAATTTTGTTTGAGTTGCCGTATTGGAAGTCGTTGTATGTAATACATTTTCTTGATATTATGCATATTGAAAAAATGTATTTGAAATTGTTATTGGTACGTTACTCAATATATAAGGAAAGTCTAAGGATGGCCTTAAAGCAAGAAAGGACTTGGTAGCAATGGGAATAAGAAATGAATTAGGACCCTTGAAGAAAGGAAATCGCACATATCTACCACCTGCTGCTTATACTTTATCTAGAAAGGAGAAAAAGATATTGTGTAAGTTTCTGAGTGAAGTTAAAGTTCCAGAATGATACTCTTCAGATATTAGAAGACTTGTTTCTATGAAAGACCTCAAGTTAAAGAGTTTAAAGACACATGATTGCCATGTTATAATGGAACACTTTCTACCAATAGGTATACGTTCTATTTTGCCAGAAAAAGTGAGAGGCGCAATAACTAAATTGTGTTTTTTCTTTAGGTCAATCTGTAGTAAGGTGATAGATCCTGCG